TACTATAAACCACCTACTATAAACCAGGCATTTGACATTAGAACATTTAATTATTACAATAACATTGCAAGGTATATATAATTCTATTTTATAGATGAGAAAACTGAAATTCAGAATGGGTGCTTTGCCCAAGGCCACACAGTTATGAAAAGAGGCCATGTGGCGCCATACTAGTTCTTCCAGGCTGAACAGGCCCCTGTCCTTGCCCCATCCTGCCCAAGGCACATCCAGGGGTCACATGGTGCCAGAACAAGCTTGTCAGAGTTTACCACTGAGTTGGAGCCTGTGCAGCAAACAGTCAGCCCAGAAGTTCCCAGGTACAATCTGCCCAGCCCTGCGCTTCCTTCTCTTCTGGTTGACTCCCCCTTCACCCAACATTGGGAAGCAGCGCCTGTGCCACTTGGGGAGCCCAAGTGGGCAGCTGGGCTCAGTGCTCTCAGGTCTCTCCTGAGTTTCCAAGGCTGTTTGTCCCACAGAAAGCTATGTGACCACTGGCTGTCCCTGTCTCTTCTCAGGACCCCCGTTTCCTTAAATGTAAATGAAGAGATTTGGGGTTCCTGGGGCCCAGACACTCTTTTGTGATAGAATGGAGCCTTCTCTCCAGAAAGCAGAAAGTGGATAAGACTGCTTGGCTTCAAGAATCCTTACTTTCTGGCCCCTAAGACATAACTGGGTACATAAAGGTTGCTCCCAAACACTCCATGCCTCTGGTGCCCATCACACAGAGGGATCCTGGTCCCATCCCTTCCTACAGGTCCCACATGCTTCTCCAAGAAGCAGGGGCTGCCCTCTGGAGGCAGCAGGACCGACAAGGCACGGTCACAACCAGCTTAGCGCCACAGAATGGGGTCACTGTCGGACTCCTGAGCCTGGTCCAGTGGTTCCGGTGCTCCAAGCCTCCATTAAAGGAAGAACTCATTCATAGACAGGCTATCTTGGGTCCCACCTAGTTTCCTGGCCCATCCTCCTCTGTCCCTCTGGCTGCAAGAAGCCCCAGGTTGCCCCTGATTTCTACCCACCACCAGGGGGCTCCTTGCAGCTGGGGGCTCCAGCCTCTGCTAGTGGGAGGCCCAGACAAGGACCTGAGGGCATGTTACACCTGGTGGAAGGTCCTGGGCTTCATGCCCACCCAAACCAGAGATGCAGGGCAGTGAACTCTTTACTTGTGCAAGGGGGAAGCAGCCCCAAGATGCCTTCTGGAATAGGGTGTGGGGCCGTTCCCCTAAGTCCCCATCCCATAGTCCTTTGGTGCATGTACTGCACTGGCAAAGGTTTCTTCTGGGTCCCCCTGAGAACAGGATTCCCTCAACAAGTATTCTGACTGGGAAGCCTTAGTAGGGAGGAGTAACCAAGAATTGGTGTGTAAATGTGAGGACTTGTTCATCTTGTTGGTGGTAAGTGTGAGGATGTTTATGTGCATACAAGCACACACATACTACTCATTCAATATCTTGTGTAGCAACTCAGTATTCAGGACATGCAGAAGTTGGCTGGGTATTTTTATCAAACTCCACTTATGTTGTACTTGCAGTATACCCTGGCAAGCATATATACATATACCCATGTGGTCTGGCCATCTAGACCAGACTGTATATGTGAATGCATACTTGCTACATATCGGTAACTCTCTTAATACTTTTGCCTTCACTTGGAGAATTCCTTAAGCCATCTTCTCTAACAGACTCAAAAGTGCAAAGAGGGAGAGAAGAGAGAGGAAATGAGAGATTGAGAAAGTCAGCCATTGCCCTGAACTCTTAGCACTGGGGGATAGTGAGCAAACTATAAGGTTTTTGAGAAACTCCTAGGGCTGGAATTAGAGCAAGATGTCTTCCTGTGGGCATCCATGGGGAACTGGGGTATGATTTGGCTCCCTTCTCTCACTTCCTTCAATCCCTGTGTAGACCAGGAATCCCACATCACCGATTGCTTCATTTCATCCTTTGTCCTTGGTGAGGCTGCCACTCTCTCCCCAGCCTTGGGTGACGCTTGCCTTTCAGTTCTTGGGGGTCAGAGAGAGGTTTTGTCTTTCAGTGCTGGCTTAGGCCAACCTGCTCACCTCACTGGAGGCTCTGCCTCCTCTGCTTTCTCTGCTTGGAGTAGCAGTTGGGAGGTGCTGAGTGCTAGTCTCAGAACAGAGAACCTCAACCAGCTGAAGCAAAGGCTCTGTATGTATCCTCTGTTACCATTGAGCAAGCCAGGATTACATACCCAGAACATAACTGTACACATTACCAATGACTTATGAATGCAACACGCACTGTGGTTCCAGTAATCACTTCCTGAGTACTAGCCATATAATTATTACAATGCCCCAAATATATGCTCTCTCTGAAGGTGAATGACAGACGTACACACCTCCTACCCTGTCACCAGGATAAGGCTTTACATTGTATGCACACATTTGCAGCAGGCACAGACTACACAGCTGTCCATGGGATACATGTTCACACCACAGAAAGCACAGACAAGCACGCAGCAGTCCACTTTCTTTTCTGCAACTCCCCTTACTCAGCCAAAAGCACAGCACGTCGTCGCCAGAAGAGCCCAGTCACCAGGCCTGACCAGCCTCTTAGGCTCCGTGCACCAGCTGAACCTCCCTCTGGAATCTGCTCTTCACAACCCCTGGCCCTGACAGGCTCCAGTCCTTATCTCAGGGTGATGCTCCTCAGAAACTCCATGGCTTCATCCTCCACCTTCCAGCCTCCCGGGGATGCCGGAGGGAGTTGGGGGCTAAGCCAGAGCCACTTACCCTCAGGGCCCAACTGCACATAACAGGGATCACACCCTGAAATTCCCACGCGTGACCACCACTATAGGCGGAAGTGGGAAGCCTACAGTCGCGTTTCCCACCTTGCGCTGCTATTTTCTGACCCACTGGTCAGCTTGGACCTGGGGCCACTACTGTCCAGGTTCAGAGTTGGGGGCTGTGAAGAACATGTGGCTGGGTGCGGGGTTCAGCCCAAGCTGCCCTGGACTTCGGGTGAGAACAGGATGATACCTGTCATCGGATGGGAGGACTGAAGGCGGACCCCCCTAATAAGCTTAGTACGGGGAGGTACAACCCAGTCAAACACCAATGTGCCTGCGCGGAAGCATAGGTCTTTATTCGTTATTTTGAGTCTCAGTAAAAAAGAAAGGAAAAAAGATTAGATTCCTACAGGCACGCAGTATGTTCACCCCTCTCTTGCACATATCTAAAGATAAATGAATTCTGATTACTAAAAAATAATAAATTATTCGTTACATTTGTACAGAGGTTTGCAGCTTACAGAGCATTTTCACAACCAGAATGTTATCTATTTGGAACAAACATTTCTGGCTGTTATATTTGAACGGAAAAATTTTCAAGTATGAGGGCAATATAAGGAAAACAGCTCACACATCTAGTCTGACTGTGTAAGAGGTAAAATACAAAATGCAGGGGTGCAAAAACAAAAATCCTACCTACAGTTGCGCCTTGTGAACGAACCACGGCAGATAAAAACTCTGATGACGTTAAACAGCCTCAACAGACCAACGATGACACAGAAAACACAGAAAACAAACACTCTCTGGGAAAACAAAGCGGCAGCGACAACCACAAACGCTCCCCGCCTCCCCCCTCTGGCTGCCCTCCACTCGTGTTCATCTGAAAAAGGATACAATTTTGCTGAAACTCTCCTTCTTTTAACTAACTGCTGAACAAACTTAGGCGCGACCGAAATAATGTAAGTCCGTGTTAAAAGAAAGAACAAGAAATTTATTCAGGATTTGACAAGACAAAACAACAACAACAACACAACATCAAAAGTGCTCTAGTTCTCTCTAGAAAATTTGGTCCTCCAAACGACACATTACAGACCAACTAGGTCTAGGGGTTTGGGCTGGCCAGCTCGGGGCCACAAGCCCGCCTGGTCCGACTGCTGCCAGGTTTCACATTTCTCCTGCCCAAGGTGCGAGAAGCAAGACGTTTGAAAAACAAATTCGGCGAGAGGACGAGCTGTCCCTGCAGCGTCCACCAGGCATGCTGTGATCTCCCGGTACTCGGGGCTTGCCTCGCAAGACCGGGAGAAAATTTTTTTTTAGTAAGTAGAGCGGGGAAACCCCCCAATCCGTAGAGAAAACCATCTTTTACTGAGCATATTCTCCTACCTCTTTGAACACAGCTTTTTGAAGGCCCGACAGGAATTCTATAATACTTCAAATCTCCTGGAAGAGAAGATTTTCATGTTTTGCTTTAGCCAACGCCACGATACTTCGCTGGTTTTCCCGGTTGTTTTTTTCCTTAACGAATGTTTTTTTTTTTTTAAATATTACCTAAAATAGCCCTCCCGATCTTTTCAGCAAAACCTTAGCCAGCTGCTTGGGCCTGGAGGGGCCCGAAGCGCCGGGATGGAGAGCAGTGGAAACGCAGCCTCTCTCCGAGCCGGGATGTGGTGTAAACCCGGGCGCAGGCCGCCAACCGCCGCCCCACCCAGTGGGCCCCGGAGAGCCGCGTCTGAACGGCTCCAAGAGGGTACGCGGAGCAAAAACACACGTTCGTCCCTTTTTCCGGCGGCTCGGAGCTTGCTGTGGGCCCAGACCCGCACTTCTAGGCAAGGGCTGCGCGGCAACCCGGCGGGCAAAGCCGAGCGCGAGCGCACCGACCTGTACAAGAAGGCCAAGCGGTCTGCGCCGCCGACACCCGCCTGCGCCTCGGCCCGGGCACTTCCTCTCCGCCGTGCATTTTGGCATGGGGTGTCCAGCCCCGACGCTGGGGCGCCAGAAAGGGACGAGGCCTGCAGAAAGCGCGTGAAGGGGCGGCCTGAAGTCAGGAGGAGCAAAAGGGCATAGAGGGCAGGGAGGCGAGCACAGGAGAAGCGGAGGAGACAAAGAGGAGCGAGAGGAGCCGAGGGAAGCGAGGAGGCGCGCAGAGCGGCCGCGGGTGCTGGCTCAGGAGGTGGTCCCAGCCGGAGCGCGGTCGGGATGGCGGCGGTGGCTGCGGCCGAGGCCGGAGTCTCGCGTGCCTGCGTCCTCGCACCCGGCGTGAGCTGGACTCTCAGAGATCGAGGCGCGAGTGCAGCGCTCCGGTCTTGCTGTCGTGGTCCCAGTAAGAGCAATGCATCATGGCGAGCTCGGGCTGCCGGGCGCAGGCGAACTGCAGGCCCGGCGTGTTGGTGGGCGCGGGCGCGGGGGGCGCGGCGGTAGCCGGGCTGGCAGGGCTGAGCTGGCCCGGGGGCGGCGCGGCGGCCCCGTGGTGCGGCGGCGCTGGCGGGGGTGAGTGGGGATGCGGCGGCGGCGGGGGCGCGGCCGGCGGGCCTCCCAAACCGTTGTACGAGTTCACTACTCCGGGAGGCAGCGCCATGCTCTGCACGCGTGAGTACGGCCCGTACGAGGCGGCCGGGCCAGCCAGCCCCTTGACCACCGCCGCCGCGCTGGGGCTGCCGGGGCCCGCGGCCGCCGCCGCCGCTGCAGCCGCCGCTGCGGCCGCCGCCATCTGGCAGGAGGCGTAGGGCATGGGTGAGGGCGGCTGCGGGAGCGGCCACGAGTTGTTGAGGAAGCCGGACTGCAGGTACTTGGGGGGCGCCAGATAGCCGTAGCCGTCGGCCCCCGCGCCCGCCACACCGCAGCCGCCGGCGGCGCCTCCCGCCCCAAAGAGCCCCTTGCCCGGCTGGAAGTGCGCGGGCGGCGGCCGGAAGGGCCGCTTCATGCGGCGGCGGCGGCGGTAGTTGCCCTTCTCGAACATGTCCTCGCAGGCAGGGTCCAGCGTCCAGTAGTTGCCCTTGCGCTCGCCGCCGCCCTCGCGCGGCACCTTGATGAAGCACTCGTTGAGGCTGAGGTTGTGGCGGATGCTGTTCTGCCAGCCCTTCTTGTTCTTCTCGTAGAATGGGAATTTGGCGATAATGTACTGGTAGATGCCGGACAGCGTGAGCCTCTTCTCCGCGCTCTCGCGGATCGCCATGGCTATGAGCGCCACGTACGAGTACGGGGGCTTCTGAGCAGGGTCGGGCTTCTCCGGAGCTGTCCCCGCGCCGCCGCCGCCCTTACCCGGGCTCGGCGGCGGCGGCGCCTCTGGCTCTTTGGCTGCGCGGCCGGCATCCGGGGCCAGCAGGGACCCCGCGGCTTCCTCGGGCTCGGGGTAGCTGGCCATCATGACAAAGCCGGCGCGCCGCGGCCGGGCAGCCCCTGCTCTTTTCCTCTGGCGCTGGCGCGGGGAAGGACTTGGGCGCACAAGTCCGCTCGCAGCCGAGTCAAACTTCTGGAGACCGCCGTTGCGGCCGCGCTCACTCGCTGGCGGCCTCTTGCGCCTCTCCCTCTTCTTTCCCTTCCCCTGGGGGAGGACGGCAGGAGTGGAGCTCAGTCTCTGGCCATGGGGAGTCCGCCCAACAGAGAGGGTCTGGCCCCGCCGCCCCTCCCCGCCAGGCCAGTCCCCGCCTCGGTGGGTTTTCTTCACTGCGCTCTTCCCCTCCCCCACCCTCCGGTTTCCCGAGGCACGACCCGCGTCTCTGGCGGAGCTGCCTCCTGGAGTCCTAGTGCGCCAGGAGCCTCGCTCTGTTCTGATTCGTATGGGCTCCGCCGAGTTCCGCTTGCGTCAGGCGCCTTCGCCCCTATAGCGGGGCGGCCAGCCGCGCACGGGCGAGTTCATCTCTAAGTCACTTTTTGTAAACGCCCCGCACAGCCCGGACTGGCCTGCCCCCTCCCAGCAAGCTTGGGGGCCCGGCGGACAGCCGGGCTCACCCTCTCATAAGTCTTTGAAATCTGACGGTGCTCGCTTTGCGGGGTCGGTCCGCACTCGGCCCTGTGCCCAGGAAGCCCGGGCCCTAGCGAGGAGAGGCGCGCCAAGCCTTCTCGCAGCTTTCAGGTGAAAGAAAACGACTCCTTTTGCTCTGCCCTTTGCTGCTGTCTTGGGGCAAAATTTCTAGCTCGAGACTGGGGGAGGGGCGGAACGGCGAGGGGGCCGGCCGGGGGTGGGGTGGAGAGAGCTGCGCGGTGGCTTGGGGAAATCTTAGCCCAGAAACGCGGCGTGTCACTGAACGAAGAAACCTCCGTCTGGTCAGTCCCTCGCGTTCTCAAAGTGACTGGGCCGGGCTGGGGCTAGGGAGAGCATCGCTGGAAAGAGGCGCCCAGGGGCTCCGCCTGAACCCCTCTGCCCTTCTTTGCGAGGCCCCAAGACCTAGGGACCGGACCCCTCCACAGAATGAGCGTCTTAATCCCACCGGTTGGATGTGCGCTTTAACAACACCAAGTAGACCCCACTCTGCTCCTGCTCCGACAAAGGCGCGAAGGTCACCGCGGCTGGGCTTTGGGGGATTATATGTGTATGTGCAACCGTATCACATCTAGAAGGGGAGGGTCTGTCCTTGAGACACGTTGAGATACCAGCTGTCCAGGTGCACGTGTGCTGGTGCAAAAACACAGGTATGCACATGTACAAAGTGTGAGGTTTAGGTTTATGGGGCAAAACATTTATACTTATAGAGATGTAATCGTATGTGTGTATCACGTATCAGAGTAAATATGGCTCATGGATATTGCATCTTCTTTCTTTTTCCTCTGTCCTTCCTCTTTCCGTTTTTCCTTCTTTCCTTCCTTTCTCTCTTTCCCCCTGTCTTTTCTTTTTCAATTCTTCCCGTCTCCATCGCTGCCAGTGTATATATTCTGTTACAGACGAGGAAGCAAAACAACAGGCTGTGAGTGAAGCACTTGTTCACATCTCTCCCCTGACACGACGTTTGTTCTGATCTTTCTCCAGGGTTGAGGGGTAGTTCTCACCTACCTTCAGCAGAAGTCTGATTGGGACCCAGTTACGTCTGCATGCACGGAACTTATCTCAGGGGAAGTCAGCGCTGGCAAAAAGTTACAGTTAACTTAGCCTTAAGAAAACGTGTGTAATCATAAAGTGTGAGAGAGATGGCCTGTGATTTGAGTCCTCATGTCCCAAACTCCTTGTTGCTGATGGGGCCAGGATTCTTTGTGGACGAAGGTGGACTGAATCCACGTCATGCAGGTAGGTGTGTGTTAGTGATTGGCATGTCTGGAGTGGCTGGCCCAATGCCTCTCACCACCTCTTCCTCCTGAGCTGCCCAGTCTCTGAGGAGTCCTGAAGATCCCTTAGTGGGATCCCAGCATTCACAGACCACCTGCATGTGCTGCCTGCTTCCCACTTGGGCCTCTGATCTACATTCTGAGATTAAAGGAAAGGAGGACAGGGTGATGGGGGCTCTTTGGAATTCAACATCTTGAAGATGACTCCAGAGAGCTCAGCAGGGCAGCCTGGTCTGACCATCACAGTAAGAGAGAACGGGACTCTCCTAAACTCATTTCAGTAAATATCCTCCTCTACGCACTATTGAGAATATCTCCAAGTAGCTTGGTGGTTTTCTCTCACTGCTCCCAACACATAGCAGGGCAAGTAGCATTTCTTCACACCCTCTGTGCTTGCTTCCTGAGGAGGAGTGCAGGTGGTTTTCTTCACCCTCACTGCATCCTGCCCAGGCTATGGGTGGGAGTTCGATTTAGGCTGCTGCAGATTGACTGCAGTGCCCATCGTCCCCCTGGGGCTAGACAGGGCGAAAAACAGCTGGGACTGGCCCTACCCTGGGGGGCTGCTCTCTCCTCTCCTCTTTTTTTCTGACCACCCAGGCTGGCTCTCTGTCCCTCTTTTCTCTCCCATGCAGGCATTTCCGCTTCTGGCCAGCAGCAGCCAGGTGTAACAGCATTGTTGTGTGTGTCATCACTTCCCCGAATTCCAAACGCGGCTCCCTTTTCAGCCTTTTAAGGGGAGTGTGTGTGTGTGTGTGTGTGTGTGTGTGTGTGTGTGTGTGTAGGGGGTGGGGGTAAAGAAAAGAGTTCCTTTAAAGGATTTTTTAAAAAGAGGCGTTTTGCCTTCCCCGGGTATTACAGATCTCTCCCGGAAGCGGTGGTGCGGGCGCGGCTGCGTTTAGTTCTCAACTTTCTTGGGTAGACTTGAAAGGGCCCCGCTTCCTAGCGTTGTCGGGATACCATCCTGCAGGGCAGACTATGCCGAGGCTTGTGTGGGGCCCCAGGACAGTTCCCTCTCCTCGCGGCATTGCGGCGACGCAGGGTCCCGGCTCGGTGACCTCGGGCGGCGCCCACCTCCAAGGCCGGGCGGAGCTCCTGGACTCTCCGGCCCGGTTTCCCGGGGCCTGCAGCGGTAGCTCAGGAGCCGCCGGCGCTTCCGCCGGTGTTACCGCCCGAGCGCTGCCTGAAGACGCAGGGCCAGAAACCTGCCGACCGAGCGCGGCCTCCGCTCCCGCGTCGACCCCTCGCCTCCGAGGCACCGGCAGCCCGCGTGAGCAATGTACTAAGCTGGGATGCTGGGAGACCCTTCTCTCCTTGCGGCCGGGAATCCTGCAACAGCCGCGGAAGCGGCCAGCGCCTTGGGGAGCGCGGTCGGGCCCCGCCAGGTGAGCAGCCCGCGGGCCGGAGGCAGGTAGCGCAAATCTGGCGTGGCTCCGATGGTCTCGCACAGCGGCCGGCCGCCTGAACCAGGTCCCGCGGCCCCCATTCCTAAGAGGCGCTCTGAACTACCCAGGGGAGGTGAGGCACCGAGCATGCTGCAGCCCTCTCCTGTGGGTACCGCCTCTGCAGTGCGCACGGCTGGAAACGGGAAGCCGGACTGTTTCTTAGCACATCCCCACACAGCCCCACACCTCCACAGCTGTCAGCACTACCCATCCCCCACCCCACTCCAACCCCCGGAATCTAGGTCCCTCTACTCAGGTCACACCCCTCGATTCATTTCTCTCTCAGTCAACCCCATATCCCCCCTTCAGTTCTCCTCTCCCTCAATACCCTCTCACAGTCACCTGTTACATGCACCAGTTCAGATCCTGCACATCTTAGTGTAAAATATGTCACTTTTACTTTAAGTCTCTTCACACAGGGGAACAGCCAGGTATCTCATGACACAAAGTGACCTCTTGGTTCCATGTCTGCAAGTCTGACTCCCAGAAGCCTGTTGATTCTCTGATGTCCTTGGCCTGTGGTTAGGGTGACTGGGGAGCCACCTGGATGTTCCCATGGTGATGTTGCTGCTCAGGGTTCTTTTGAGAAGCTCAGGTACAGAGCTGATGCACTTGAACACACACCCACAGGCCACTCACACAGGCTTCATCTCTGTTTTGTAGCTGAGCTGGCTGCTGCACTGACAGGCTGCAGCCGGAGATGGTTGCATGGTCCTCCTGCACACACCCACACAGCCCCAGGCCCCAGGCCCCAGGCTTGGCTGTATTATTCTGCCTGGCTGGGGTTAGCAGAGTCACTTATCCAAAAATGTGCTTGGGAGAGAAAGTGAGAAAGAGAAGGGAAGGTTAGAGAGAGAAAGAGCGAGCGAGCGAGCGAGCGAGCGAGCGAGCGAGCGAGAGAGAGAGAGAGAGAGAGAGAGAGAGAGAGAGAGAGAGCAAGTGCCACTGCCCAGCCCACTCTGGGGAAGAACTAATACAGATGACAGCTGTTTCCAGTTGAATCCCACACCCCTCACCCTGTGGTGGCTGGGCTGGGAAACAGCAAGTCAGAGTTCTGGGCTCCTCCTCACCCCATTGATGTTGGGCCTCAAGTCTACCAGCACCTCTTTGTCCCAAGGAGTGTGTGTCCTACCCTCTGCCCAACAGACTGCAGGGTAGTTGTAGGCCTTTCTCCTGGTTGAGCCTAACTCGGGATGAAAAGGCAGAGGGGACTGGTTCCTGGGTTATGCGAGGACTTCCCCCCTCCAAAAACCTCTGGAATGCTCCCAGAGAGAGAATTCGAGGGTGGTAGGAGCTGCTGGCTAGCTTTCTTTGGTATCCCACGGGCATGACTCCCATGGTCCAAAGCCAATTTGTTCAGTTCTGAACAGCGAGTACCCTGCCACTAGGCCCTGACATGTGCTGGAGAGCGTGATGTGTTGTTTCAAGTTGCCTTCTTGCCTTTCTCCACTGTAAGCCTTGATGGGCAGCGAGTGACTCTGTCCTCCACTTCTCGCTGCTTCCCACCAGGATGGGCTTACTGTATTCTAGTGGAATTGGAAAATGGCTCTGCTCCACAGGGAGAATTGAGGGATGCTACTTTCCTTGTAATGAAGCTGGAATTTCCAAGAAAGGGACTGCAGATGGGGAAGAGTGGCTGGACCATGGAGGGCCAGCTCATGATCCAAGAGGCCTCTGCCATTTGGGGCTCTCTACTCATTCTGGCGGCATAGCCATGCTGCTGAGCCTTGGGTAAAGACACAGGACACCTTCTCACAGTGTCTGAAACATTCAAACTAAACTTGACTAGAAATAGAGAGGCCTCTGCATCTGTGGCAGCTGGCTTGCGAGGTGTAAGAACTGCTGTCTGGAGCCCCAAGCAGGCCCATGAGGGCT